TTTATCATTCTTTTTTTGATAGATTATTATCTTGCTATTTTTTTCTTTTATCTTTTAATTGTTTTAGCTTTTTAAAATGCTTATTTTATTTTCATTTATTAACTAAATTTAAAAATGTTAGTTTTTTTAGAAATTACTATGTTTGTCTCCATTTATTTAATTATTTCTAGTCCATCTTTTTTTTTCCATTAATTATTTCTTTTAATAATATTATTTTTAAGTTTTTATCAATTTTTTTTTTTTTTTTTTTTGATAAGATTTATTTTTTTACCATTTCAATTGTTTCATTTAAATATTTTTCTTGCTCCTTTTTTTTTTACAGATAATATTAGCATAATTTATTTTTCATTTTCAATTAAAAAATGTTGTATTAGAGATAAATTTTGTTCGTTTTAGCCTTTTAAATTAATTTTAAATTTTCTTATAACTTTTGTTGTTGTCTTTTTTTTGGAAAGTTTTTATTTTGTGTCATTTGTTGTTGTTTAAATTTTTGTATTTATCATTTTAATCCATAGGAATGGATGGTTTTTAATTAATTAATTAATTAATTAATTGTTACTATAATTGAAGAAGTTTTTATGATTAATATAATTGGGAGTTGCAATTTTCCCTTTTCTTTTTTTTGTTTATCAATAAATTTCGATGAAAAAAAAAATGATTTATTTTTTAATTTTTCATTTTGTGAAAAGTTACTTTAATTTTCTTATTTCAGTTATTTTTTGCAGAAATTTCTTTTTAAATGATTTATTGTCACTTTTTTTTCTGCTACATAGTTTTAATGATATTGTTGCTGTTGACTGAATTGAACTGATTGTTGTTGTTGTTATTGTTATTGTTGCTTTTATTGCTATTGTTGTTACTATTAGTGTTGTTGTTCTTGTTGCTGTTGTTACTGCTATTGTTGTTATTATCACTGCTGTTGTTGTTATTATTATTACTTCTGTTGCTATTGTTATTATTGCTGTTATTGTTGTTATAGCTGTTGGTGTTATTGTTCTCGTTATTATTACCGCTACTGCTGTTGTTGTTATAGCTGTCGTCGTTATTGTTGTTATTGTTATTATTGCTGTTATTGTTCTCGTTATTATTACCGCTACTGCTGTTGTTGTTATAGCTGTCGGTGTTATTGTTGTTATTGTTATTATTGCTGTTATTGTTATTATAGCTGTTGGTGTTATTGTTCTCGTTATTATTACCGCTACTGCTGTTGTTGTTATAGCTGTCGTCGTTATTGTTGTTATTGTTATTATTGCTGTTATTGTTGTTATAGCTGTTGGTGTTATTGTTCTTGTTAGTATTACTGCTACTGTTATTGTCATTGTTGGTTGTCACTGTGTATATTTTTAATCAATTTTTTTTTTCTTTTTGATATTTACATCTAATGAAATCATTGTTATTGACTGAAAGCAAAAACAAGTTTAAATTTTAATGAATAGAAATAATTAGTGCTAGTATTAGCGCTAAACATTACATTCATTTCAAAAATTCAGTTTTTTTTTCATTTTTTTTTTTTTTTTTTTGTGAAACTTTCAAAATTCAATCTTACAACGAAAGGATAAAGTCACATTCACTGTCTCACATTTATTTAAACAATGACCTCATTCTTTCTCTCTTTCTTTCATTCTTGTTGACAAAAGCAATTTAATGATAATGGTTGTTGTTTTTAGTGTTTAGCATTATTTACACAGCTTGTGCAAACTTTAATATAATCAAAAATCAATTTCATCAATGAATAAACTATTTTTTTGATAAAAGTTTTTTAATTATAAAAAGTAATATTATTATTAAAAATGCTAATATTAAAAAAAAAAAAAGCAAAATATCATTATAATATTGAAATTTTCTCAAGAAAAAAAAAAAAATTCATTAGCTAATCTTTTAATATAATATAATCTTCTATGGGAATGAAAATTTCAAAAATTTTCAGTGTCACATTTCAATTGTCACCCTCTTTTGAAAACCATAAATTTTGTTTCGAAAATATAATAATGAATGTAATTTTTTTTTTGAATGAATGAAATGACATCATTGAAATACAGTGTTTCTCTCTCTCTCTCTCTCTCTCTCTCTCTCTCTCTCTCTCTCTCTCTCTCTCTAAACACGATGATCAATTGAAATAAATAAACATGAAATTTGTAAATTTGCAACTTATTTGCTATTATTTTCATTTTTTAATTAATTCAACATTTTTATCATCAAAAATACATAATATTATTCACATATAACTGTGTTTTGTTTTTTTTTTAAATAAATAAAAAATAAAATTCGGAAAATTTCGTTGTTTATATTTGCAAATTTTTTAATTCTTTTTAAATGAAGAAATGAAAATAATCGAAGATATAATTGTTCAAATGTTATTTACTCCATGAATTAATAATAAACTTTTATAAATGCTTTTTTTTTTATAATCGGAACAATAAGGTCGAAATTGTGATGATAATATTTATATAGTTTAATTAAATTTAATTTTTCAATAAAAAAAAAAACAATTTTAACTTCACATAATTTCATTGATTTGAGAATGATGAATGAATGAAAGAATGTTGTTAAATATGATTTGTTAATTAAATTAATTAAAATAATGCAAATTAATAATTAACAATTTATTCATTTTAATTCATTTTAAATTTCATTTGAATTTTAATTATTCAATTTAATTTATTCATTAATATGCAGCAAACATTGCTAAAAATAATTTTATTTCATTTTACACTATTTGCTAATTATGAATTAATAGTAAAATATAAAATAATATATGTGCAAATTTAATTGCAAACTAAATTTGAAAAAAAAAAGAAACAAAACAAAACAAAAATGTAATAAATTAACGAAAAAAATATATTTTTTTAAAATACTAAATATAAATATATATATTTTTTAAATACTAATATATATTTAAATACTATTTTTTAAATACTAAATATTTAAGCTATTTGATCATTTCTTCATGATTAATTGAAACATTCATATTAATCATCATCTAATAGCAAACAAATTAACTTATTTACTAACATTTCCTTTTTTTTTTTTTGAACTCTAAAATAAAAATTTGCAATTTTCATTATTAGTTTGAGACTTAAAAAATTTAAAAAATAAATCATTTTTGTTAAATATTTGCAAAAATTATCCTACAAACATTTTTTTTTTCAAAATAACATTTTTTATTCAATTGCGGAAATTTTGTTTTGTTTGCAAAAAAAAGAAAAAAAAATCTCGGCGTATTTGATACTTTGATCATTTGACATTGTCATAACTCGTCTTAGTATTGTTATCAGTTTTAAAAAAAAAGAAATTATACTGTCCATTCTCTCTCTCTCCCTCTCCCTCTCCCCTCTCTCTCTCTCCCTCTCTCTCTCTCTGTGTAAACCTGATTTTAGTTCAATCACTTTTCTCAGTATTTTCATTTTCTTTTAAATTCTATCCCACGATCTGATTTGATGATTATTTTCAGTTCAATTCCAAATTCATTCTTGTTTACGTCACATTTCTTTCGTTTTATTCAGCTACCGCCAAATCGAACTAACATTTTTTTTTTTCTTAAAAAAAAATTAAAAAAATTAATTTTATCATTTTTAAATGCTATATTTGTTTTTCTTTTTCATTTTTCTTTTTTTTTTTTTTGGACTTTTTATTATCAAATATTTGCTCTTTTTTTTTTCTTGTTTTTTTCATCCAAAAATAAAACTAAAATATTTAATTTAAAATTACAATCATTTTTGTTTCTTTGTTTTTTCGCTCTCTCTCTCTCTCTCTCTCTCTCCCTGTTTGTCTTTTCTTGTTTATTTGATATTATTAATTTAGCAAATAAATTTTCAAACACTGATAAACTCTTATTTGAATGCATTAATTGGCTCATTAATGATAATATAATTTTTAGAATATTGCAAATGTTTTAAAGAAATGATAAAAAAAAAAAAAAATGATAACAAAAATTTGCATTCATTTCGATCAGTTGAGAGAAAATTAAATTAAATTTTTTTATCAGCATTTTATCATCTTTCTAACATATTTGCAAACTTTTTTAAACTATGAAAAAAAAAAGCATCAAAGGTCGATTTAATCTTTTTTTTTTGCTAATTTTTAATAAAAGAACTTTTGTCAACAATATTGATAAAAAGATGTTGGATGATCTTTGATATTTTTTTTATATGGCTAAGCTAAAATGACAATTTTTCTTTTTTCATTTCATTTCAATTCAAAAATTAATAATATAATTGTAATGTATGTAATTTATGAGTAAATTGTGTTAAAGGTTAATTTATTAAAAATTAATTAATTATTAATTATGAAAATTTTAATTTTTAGATTATATTATGGCATTAAAACATTTTTTTGCTATACTTTTTCTCAGTTCTTTTACAACAATGATTATATTCTCACTTACTCGTATTTATACATTTTCAAATACAATTAAATTATGGAAAAATGAATCACAAATTATGCAAAAATTTTCATCGTTTAAAATTTTCATTCCTACTACATTCACTAATTCTACTACTACTACTACTACTACTACTACTATTAATAATATTATTATGCAGAAATCTCCTAACTATAATGATAAGGTAAATAATTTATATAATTTTTTTTTTAAAAAAAAAACTATAAAATTACATTTCTGATCATCTACCAATCAATTAATCAATTAATCAATCAATCAATCGATCAATCAAATCTTGTAATTTGCATTAAATTATTTGATTATTTGAGTAATTGCTTAATGATTACTCCATTTTTTTTTTTTCAATGTAGCAAAATATTTCTATGAATTTTCCTAATAACTTTAAAAAATTTAACTCAATGAAGAAAAAAAAAAAAGAAAAGTGAAATGTTCAAATTTCATCTACAAATATAATTAATAGTTAATATCCAAAAAAATAATAATAATACTTACAAATAAAACTTAAACTAGTTTATTAGTAAGAAAAAGAATAAATAATTCAAAAATGATTTATTATTTAAAAAAAAAAAAAAAGAATTTATTTTTGCAGACATATGTTATGGGTGCATATATAATTTCATCTAAAGGAATTCGATTAACAACAATTCGTAAATGTAAAACAATGATTAAACTTCATTTTCATTTACAAATAAATGAATCAAATTTTTTAACAGTACCATTAATTCATGAGCCAATTCTTAAATGTCCATGGTTTTATGCTATTAAGTTCGTTTTTTTTTTTTTTAAATTTTTTCCAACATTTTTATTAATTAATTTATTCTTTTTTTTTTTCATTTATTATATTTAATTTAAAATTATTACTTTGCATTATTTATAGTTAACATTTAGTATGTGTTAAAATATTTATTTAGATGTGATTTTGTTGGTTATTTTGCTACAACAATATATCACAAACAATTAAATCAATTCTTGATAAAAATGAAAAATTATCAATTATTACCCAAAGCATATATATCACGAATGGATAAGCCTGCATTAAAAATGCCAGTTGTACTGCATGATGCACGCATCATGCAAAATAAACCACGCAAGCATTATCTTGCTGTTTGCTTGCAACCAATTTTTTTATTAGCTGATTGGACATTATTGGTGCAATTTTTTGAGGTAATTTAAAACATATATTATTTATCATAAATAATTTTTAAAATTAATAAATGTAATTATTTGAATAAATAAATTTATTGTAAAAATTATTTTTTAATTTATCAATTTACATTTTTTTTTTTTTTTGCTTTTTTGAACTAAATAAATTTATTGTTTGATTTTGATGAAATAAATTTTGCTCTCTTCTTAAGAGATTTACAGATTTGGATTGCTCAAGGTGTCACCAAATTTTGTGTCTATGTACAATCGATGACACCTGAAGTTGATGCATTGTTACGTATTTATGAACATTCAAAAGATGTTGAAATTGAGAGAATTAATTGGGCACCATTACCAACAGACAATAATAATGCTAACACTTATGAAAGTGATCCAAATTTACGAGTTTATAGGGCTGAGGTATGAATTTGTTAAATTTTAAAAAATTATAATTTGAAAAAAAAAAAATTATTGCAATGTTTCTTTTTTTTTTTATCAATAAACGTACTAATTTCAACAATTGATTATTGAGAATAATTATTTACAAATTAATTTTTAATCTTTTATAATTTTATTTTAGAAATTTTTGAAATGTTTAAAATTATAACAAAAAGATTATTTGCTGCTGTAAACTTGAACCACCGCAATAGATATATCATTTTCAAAATTTTATGTTATTTATCATTTTGTTTCTTTTTTTTTTTTGTTTGTTGTTGAAAATTGAATTATAAATTTGGTAGAATATTTTCTAATCAATAAATAAGCAATTCACTTATTTCTTTTTCAAACATATAAAATACTATTTAGTTGCTAAATACTAAACTAAATAAATAAGCGTTGAATTCATTGTATTACATTTCATTCATTAAAAACAAAATTTTGCTTAGAAAATTCAAACTGTTTTCTAATCAAATAAATATTCAAGTTTTTGAGTTATACAAATTAAATTAATTCAAATTTCAAATATAAGATCAAATTTTGCTATTTTTATCAATTATTATCAAATGTAAAACATTATTATAATACTATAACATTCTTTTTTCTCTCTCCTTTTTTTTTATATATATATATTTGAAACAAATTTTAATCCTAAGCTATTATTTATTAACAATTTTGAAACATTAAAATTATAAAAATCTAATTTCTCTATAATTTTTTTTTTTTTTTTTAATTCTTTACTATTTTAAAGGTAGCAACTTCAATCAACGATTGTCTTTTACGAATTCGTGGTCATGCAAAATATGTGATTTCGTCCGATTTAGATGAAATTATGATAAATTATAAAGAATCATCATTGCTTCAATTATTTGACAATTTACATGCAAAATTTCAAAATTCAGCAGCATTTATCATTCGAAGTAGTTTTGCGCTTTTTGAGGTTAAAAAAAATTTTTTTCTTACTTAAAAAAAAATTATTTAAAAATTTTGAAAATATATTATGAATTATTTGAAAAATAAGAAAAAAAAGATTTTTTTTTTTGAAAATAATATGAGCTTTTTTCAAAAATATTTTATAAAGTTAATAGTTGTTTTTTTTTTTTTATATAAAAAAATAAATATATAAATGTGTTTTTATAAAAAAAAAAAGTACTCTATAATTAATGCATATAGCTATAGGAGAAAATATAATTAAACAAGTTTTGCAAAATAAATTGATATTGAGAGAAGTAAAATATACATTTATCATTTTGATCTCATTATCATAACTAATCATTCTCGAAGATGTGGAAGATCATCGAGAATGAGATGAAATTGAGACAATTTCTAAGCTTATAATTTGGTGAAAAGTGATTGAAATATGCAAAAATAAATTATATTGATATGAAACAAAATTAAAATGTTACAAAATTTGAAATAACTAAAAATATTTCATTGAAAACTCTTTTTTTTTTTTTTTTTAGAATCATTGGGCTAATATTTCCAAGCCAACAGATATTGATTTCAGTGTTTTTACAAATATTTCATTGGAAAATTATATTTGGCCGGCTGGTTTTCGAAGTAAAGTAAATTTTTATTTCAAAATTTTGGGCATCTTTTTTTTTTTTAAATTTTGTTATTCAAAAATAATGACACATTTTTGATTTATACCTAATTTAAATAAACAGATATAAGTTATTTATAGTGATGAAAGATAATTAATATTTAGAAATTGAATGCATTCCGGATGGAAAGATTATATTTTGCTACCTGTTTTTTTTTTCTTTTTTTACCTAATATTTTTTTTAGTTATTCATTAATAGCGTAGCATTTCAGGTAGTCATGATTCCGGAATACATTTACAGTACACATGTACATCAGGTATTACAACCAGAACCTGGAAAACTTGTAACAGTTGTACCACCTGAAACTGCACTTGTTTTTCATCTAAGGTTAATTAAATTCGTAATTTTATAATAACAAATTCAAATTTGTAATAATTTAAATTTTTTTAATTTAATTAATTTCGGCTTTAAATTTATAATAATGTTCAATTTAGAAAACAAATACTGCTATTTATGTAGATAGATTTGTAATTTTACAATAAAAGTATAAATACTTAATAATGCTTCAATAAATTACCACTTGCTAAATATTTAAATTTCTCTTTTTAATTTAAACTTATTTTTTTTTTTTTTTTGAGGCGAGTGATGAGAGATAAGTTGTGGTCATCAAATAAAACAGTGAAAACTAATGCACTTACTCGATTTATTGATCCATGTAATAAATCATGGAAAAATCGATTGAAAATGATCAAAGAAATTCCTGAAGCTAAAATATTGCATGGAAAGAAATGGCCTCAAAGAGGAAGCCAGGTTATTTTATTTATTTTTTTTTTTAAAAAAACATTTATGAAATGGATGCATATATATATTTACAATTCAAAACATTCAAATCGTAAAATCATTATTCACGTTTTTCACGGAATGTTTTCACGCACTAAAAATAATATCATACATTCAGGAATATTAAAAAGCAAATTTTGTAAGAATTTGAACTAATTTCATATTATCAGATCAAATTTGACTCCTTATTTTTAATATTTTGATCACTATAGATCTTTCTTTTTTTTTATTAGATCACTATAAATTAAATAGTCTAAAATTGCTTGTACTGTAATATTTTTAATTTCATTTTTTATTTTTTAGAAGTAAAAAGTCTTTAAAATTTAGCGTCATCTCTTTAAAATTATCAATATTATCAATTTAAAATTACTAATAATCGTTATGAAAGATTAATAAAGTGTTATGTTCGAAAGTATATCGAATATTTATTTTCTCAATTAGATTTATCAAAAATCATGAGAGTAAGTGAAATAAATTTTATTTATGTAGAAATTTGAAAATTCATTAATTAAAAATATTCTCCTCAATGTCAAATTATTGCCAATAGCAATAACAACATATTTGATCTAGACTTTTTTATCAGTAATACCATCAATTTAAAATTATCAATATTATCAATTTAAAATTACTAATAATCGTTATGAAAGATTAATAAAGTGTTATGTTCGAAAGTATATCGAATATTTATTTTCTCAATTAGATTTATCAAAAATCATGAGAGTAAGTGAAGTAAGTTTTATTTAAAAAAAAAATCATTTGTTTCATATTACCATAATTTTATAATTGTTAAAAATATCGATAAACATATTGCTAGCAAGGATGTAACTGGATAATACTTTTTTATTTTGTAATAAAATTAATAAATAAATGAAATATTTAAAAACAAAAACAAAACAACAAAAATTAATAAACAGAAGATTTATTGTAATATTTAAATTAGTCAAACAAATGATAAAATGAATGCTAAATTTTTTTTGCTACTTTTAGTAATTTATTTTCGCTTTATCTTTAATGCTTAATTTTAGCTCCTTAATTTAATCTCATTATTTTTCTAACTCCTAATTTTAGGTAATGGAAGAATTAGAAGCATGTCGAGAGCAACTTGATTCTATTCGAAATGACACCTGTCATTCGCCATATCGTTGTATGTCCAAAATTACCTCCGTTAAAACAAATGAATGGATCATTGCACAACAAAGTTGGACTGTCTTATAACATATATATATATATAATAATGAGAATATATAAGAGAATAGCAAAATTACGGGTATTTAATTTATATATTTAATTATATATGTAAATTATATACGTAATTATATGTACATATATATATATGAGATTTTTTTTTTTATCGTGTTACTACCTCTAATAGTTTGCTTGAAATGATTTTTTGTTTTTCTGATAGTATTATACATTCATACACACTTTTGTCTTTTTTAAAATTTCGGTTAGATGTAATGATTTTACAAAATTTTAATTGTTACTTTATGGTTTCTGACAGTTTGTTGTTATTATAACATATCATATCTGTAATTTTAGAGAATGAAATGAAAATGGTTCTCTTTCTTTTTAGCAAAATTACTTGTCATAGCTTCAAAAGTTAGTTAAATTTCTTACTACCTGAAAATCAATTAGTATGTAAAATTATATCTACTGAATACTTTACATTCATCATTAAATCTTTCATGAGATAACTGTGATATAACTCATTTTGCAAGTCAAGAATTTAATCTTAATAGATATATTTCAAAAAAAAAAAAAACCTCATCCTTCAATTTTTTATCAATCATTTACTTTTATTTGTTTATATATACTGATTCTTATCATGTGTTCTTATGTAAAACAGATGATAAGAATTGATTTGCTATTGCTCTTACAATCATCTTTCTATGCAATCAATACAGTGTTATTATTATTATTATATTAGTTTGAGAAATGATTTTGCACAAATCTATTGCTAAAAATAATTTTAAATTTCATTTTTAGAAGTGAATAATCTTGATGATCTAAAGATACTCAAGATTTAACTATATTAGTGATAGAATTATTTAGGAATTCCTTTGCATGATCTGTAAGATATCTGAACATTCCATAATATTTCAGTATAATTCATGTATAATATTATAAAAAATTATTATTACAGTTCAAGTTAAACAGATCATATTCTGATCTGTGGAACTAAATGATCAGATCAGATGATATTCGACCTAAATGGTGCACTAGATCATTTTCGAGAATATCACATATGGCTATAGCCAATATAATTAGTTATACAATAGCAGATTATAGAGATTTCAAAAAAAAAAATCGATAATTTGAATAATTTTATGGGAATGAAAGCGCTGAGCGCTTTTTGATACATAGCTTTGATTACATGATTTTATGATATACTTAAAATCTAAACGGTTCATTAAAAACTTTACTGATAAAGTTGCATTTGGAAAAGTTTCCTTATCATGTAATTTTTAAATTGTTTTGCTCAAAAGTGATTTCTTGGAAATCAAAAAAGTTAATGTATCAAAGCTATATTGGAAGATGCATATGAAAAAGTAATTTCCTCAAGAATGAAATAGCTGATTAATGCATTCATTTCATTTCAAAACTGCAAAATCTAATTTATTCTTTCTAGACATTAGCTATACGCTTACACGCTTTGACTAATAAGTTAAATTTGCATAAAAGTAAAAAAAAAAAATCAAGATTAAAAATCATTTAGATCATATGAATTCAATAGTGATTATTATATTATGAACACTTTCATCTGTTTCGTCCACTCGAAACGATAAACTGAAACTTTGTAGTAGTTACAAAATCAAATTAAAGCTAAAATTAACATTCCTCAAGTTTTGTCTACTTAAATCTCGAGTTTCAATAGAAATGGTTGCTGTTGAATTTTCGAGACTGTTCGTTACTCATTACTCCATGTACAGTAATTATGAATTTTCGGTAGTAGTAATTTAATTTTGTATAATACAAAAAATAATGTGATATAATACAGTAAGTATTATATCATATTATAACTAACATCTAGTAAAAGTATAGTTTTAAATATATCAATATTATGTGTTATAGTAATATCAGTGATATCATAATTAGATAACAGGTGATAAAATTGGCACAGAAAATACTGATATGTCACAGTGTGAAAAAAATGAAAATTGAAATTTAGAGGTAGACATTTACAAACAAAATGAACCATCACATGACCTTTGCTTGTTTTTTTTTTTTTTGTTCTTATTTTTAATTTCTTTTTTTCTAAAAAAAAAAAAATGAAATCAAATAAAACAATATATGAAAATACGGTGGTCATATTGTTTTTTAATTAATCAATTTGATGAAAAAAAAAAAGAGCATAGCGATATTGAATAATGGCAATATAATCGATTGATTAGATTATGAGCAGTAAATAATAGTTCACTTTTTCATATCTTATCATATGTGACACCCTATAATTTGTCTCTTTTGAAAATTTTGCATTAATCTTAATTCAAACATTTTTATTTTATCATAGCTTAATTGAGTCATTTTCTCTGGAAGCAATAATGTTAACTCATTTCTAAGGTTAATATTTGTATCATAATTTTTTTTTTTGCCTAAAAACAAAATGATCAAAGTGATATTGATAATGATCTGATCTGAAATTTGCATATTTATGATAGATTATTTATTAGAAATAGTATTCACACATAGAAGGAATCCTTTTTACGCAATTATTCATTTGAAGGTGGCTGTTTGTTTGTATGTAATTGCATTTCATATTTTGTTGAATGCTACTTATTGTATGTTAAATCGATCTTTCAATCTTTCATCTCAATTTTAAATAAAAATCAAATTTTAGACTTCAAAAATTAATGGAAAAAGAATGATTTTAATGACAATTACATCATTTATTTATGCTATATTCAACATTTCCTACACACTTGCTATATTAATTGTGTGTGTAAAAAAACGAAACGTTAAAACAGTAACTTTTGTAATATTATAATTCTTTTAATTCTACTTCAACTAGTAGCATGGCAGAATAACAGGAAGATTTATCTCAAATTTTTACAGTATCTTGATGAAAGTTTTGAAATAATAGCTACTATATCTCTTTTATATCTCATTTCATCAGTTGATTTCATCCTTGCTTTGAAGTAAATGAAGGCACTACAATAAGCAACAATGAGTATTACAAAAAAAAAATCGATGCTAGTTAAAATTCGCTGAGAATGAAATAAATTTTAAATATTATTTTTTTAAGAATTGAAAAAAAAAAAAAAAAACGAAAACAACAAAAAACAAAGCCTTATCAATTCGAGAAGCAAAACTGCACATACTATTTGTTCGTAAAAATTTTAGGTAAAAGATAAAAGTGAACAACATAAACTACCACCACAGCAATCAAAAAAGTTAGAAGTACGAAAACAACCTTTTGGACCTGCTCCCTTACCAAAAGGTGCAATGAGTAAAGGAAGTATTACCGCAGTTGGCGCATCTAATAAACAAACATTGCAACAAACTCCGATTACAGCTAATCAAATGAAACAAATAAAAAATGATGTTAGTCAAAAAAAAAAAAAAGAAAAGAATTTCTTAAAATAATCAAAATCCAGAAAAAAATTAATTTGATAGATAATACAATCTGAGAACTTGTAGCAGTCATGAAGATCAGAGAATTCTCTTTGCTTTAGGTATGTTTTACCGTTTTAATTTTCTGCTGCTAAGGCAATTATAATGAATATCATGCCTAATATGAGCGATAATGTAAAAAGTTATATTAGAAAAGTGTGGGACAAAGTAACTACCTATTGAACCATTTCATATCTTCAATTTGCAATAAGTAGGAGCAATCTTTTGGTAAATTTCTAACAGTTAACTCAGCATACTTTATAAATTGCTTTAAATTACCTTCAATGCAAGCCTTCTTTGTTAAAGCAAAATAATGCATTATAATGCTGCATATGATATCTTTCAAAGTAGCATTCATACTATGTACAAAATTCGATTAAATCTAAATTAGAAATATATATGAAATCAATTCATTGCTTCTATATCCCAAAAAAAAAAATTTTTTTTTATTACTATTATTTTTTTTTAATGGCTTTTTAATTTAAAATTTTAAAATAACTACTTTAAAAACAATGCCAATAACAATGGTATAAAAATCATGATACTTACATAGTGATATTAAGAATGAAAAAGAAAAAGAAAAACAACGATGACAAGTTAAAGTTAGAAGTGTCGCTTAAATTTTTTTTCATTTCATATTACCTAATTTCATTTTTGATATTAATTTATTCATTGAAATCAAAACTTATTAAAATTATTGGATAGAATGACTAAGCAAATAATAAAAAAGAAAATTTTGGCAATTTTTGAATTGCAATAAAAGTAAGATAGATGTATATGAAAGTTATATTTAATAGTTTTGATAAGGAATAAAATTTTCAAAAATATTTTCGTTTATGCTAATTCATCAAATATTTTAGAAGGATATACAATCGACACAGTTAAGTAAGGAACAAATAGAAAATGCAAAAAATGGGAAGAAAAATCTGTTGCAAGTTCATTCATTTTTATTTTGCTTTTTTTTTTTCAACCTCAAAATTTTAATAATTTATTACAAATCAAAGAAAAATATTGAATAAAAAAAGAAATTCATTTAAAAAAAAAAAAAAAAATGATATGAACATTTGCAAATTTTTAGAGGATAAAAGATATAAAAGAGAAAAAAGATGGACAAGTTCAATATGAACAATATGTAAGTTTGTTATTATCATTCTATCACTCAAATATCTTTCATTGATAAACTGATATCTTTTATAGTTATAAAATGATTGAAAAATACTTTATATATTTTATACTTTATATGTGAATATTTTACGCAAACTTTTAAATCATTTCATCTATTCACTTTATGGTACTGAAATTATGTAAACATCAATTTTAGACATAACAATAGCAATCATAAGAGTATTTTTCACAATACTAAATGAAATTAAATATAATTGTAATGCACTTGAAATAGAATATGTAAAAACCTTTTCCTACAATCAATCACTCAATAACAAGTAAAAATAGAGTAACTTTGTGCAATTGATCTATTAGGATAAACTATAGAAATTATCAAAATGTGGGAATTTTTCAATATTTATTTATTTTCATTCAAATCAATTCATATTCTGATGAAAATTTTAAAAAATCGAAAATAAATGAACGCTATCAAATGGAAAAAAAAAAAACGAAAAATTCTTAGAAATCAATAAAACGGCGAAAAAAAGGGAAAAAATTGGAAATAGCGAAAACTCAAAGAAGCACACGAATGAAAGAGCAATTAAAAAAAGAAGATCAGGTAAATAATGCTCAAATATATCTGAAATGATAATATAAAATTGAGATACAATCTTCTAAATAAATCATAAGCACGTATAATATTATCATAATATTCACTTATCATAAAAATATTACTCATCTGGTCACTATATATTCCATTATAATCATTTTAATTTCACTAATTATCATAATTGTCATAATCAGCATTACTATTTTCATTATACTCATTATTTCACCACTAATTAATTGCTAAACAATTCATTTGCATGACCTGTGGGCTATTTAGGTTTAAGTTTTCTCTAAGAAATCAATATTTCGATAATCCTAAGAAATAATTATTTCGATAATTGCTTCAATACTGTTATATCTATTCCTGATAACATCGAGATATCTTCCATACTATTATCAGTCCTTTTTATCAGTACAATTGCTTACATGCATCCATTTTTTACTGTCTATCATTTGACAGTAAATTAATTGCATATGTTTGCTCCCTAATTTTAACCACTGATTACTGCCTTCTTCATTATTTATCATTGCATTTATCATATTCTTATTATCATTGCCATTATCATATTCCTTACAAAACCGCTACTTCTTATTTTTCTCAAGGAATTTTCGATCTTTGAATTAAGACAATGCAATTACAAAATTACTATTCCTAACTCTTCAGTCTTTATTTTTTTTTCAATTCAATATCGCAGATTAATTCCATAAATTAATCCCACATTAACAGTGCCCATTCAATATTTATTTTTGAGATTATTGCACCTACCATCGTTTCATTGCTCCACTAAAAATAGTTTAATCATTTCTAGATGGAAAATGAAGAGCAAGAAGAGGAAGAAGAGGATGATGATACGATGAAAGGAATCGCTTCGTTACAGCAAGATTTGAATATTATTTCAACTGAAGAATAACTTCTATCAATGAATTATTCATTCATTTCTTATCATTTAGATCAGTTATCGATAATAAACAATGTTAACCCTTCGAGAATGATAAACAATGTCAACCCTTCGAGAGTGAGTTAACCCTCTCGTGACCTTTTCATTCCACAGTAAAAGTAAAAAAAAAAAGCGTAAAAGTAAAAAACAGCCCGTGACTCAAAGTATTATGAGAATTAATGGCACGGCCACGTTCATTTTACGCTTTTCATTTTTCAAACTTTTAACGACACTTCTGTTTCTGTGGATTTAGCAAATTATTCTTAATAATAGCGTAGAAATAGTGAATTTCACTTTAAAAAGTATAGAATTTCTTTAGTTTTTATTTTTTTTTTTTAAATGGGAATTCAAAACTTTGTTATCATATTCCTTTTACACATTCGTGTTTTGATTTATAATTTCTTTTATTTACAGTAATAAAAATGGACACGGTGGAGAGATGGCCAGTGGAAAGTCTGGTCGATGGAGCTAAGCTCGGTGTTCGTATGACTGGAGATTTGGAATTTCGTATGTTCTTTTTTTTAATCATTTCGTTTGTTTGCCATATAAATAGAAACGTATATTTATTGACGCATTCCACTTTATCGTATGAAACGAGCATTTTGTAGGTGAAGCAGAAATTTTATCGATACGTATCACACCAGATCGAAAATACAGATTTTATGTTCATTATATTGATTGTAATCGACGGCTGGATGAATGGGTTGGTGAGTCGGCGTTAGATTTAACCAACGTACGCTTTCCACAAAAGGGCGGTAAAGCTCCAAAAATACAAGTTGATACATCTAACAAGTAAGTATAGTGGTTGGTTCTAACGCACCCGAAATATATTAGGATGTTATTAAATTCTTCGTTTTTTTTTTTTTTTTTTAAAAAGTAATTTATGTTACATTTCGTGTATAACGGAGAAATTTCGGTATTTCGTGTTAACTTCAATCTCACTTGAACATACATCAAGAATTACTTCTAGATGTATGTTTTATTTCATTCGTTTCAAATAACCATCTTAAAAAGTAAATATTTGACATGCAAATTGATTTCTTTTACTCAAGAAAAATTATGCAGTTCGCATACATCGTCTCCAGACCGTGAAGTGCCTAAAAAAGGTTCAACACGAAAGAGGAAAGTGGTTGGTGATGCATCAGAAGTTGTCAAAGCAGAAGAAGCACCTGTGGTACCACGTCCACCATCACCGTTTCAGGCGGATATTAAGGGTTCGTTACTGCCTACACTTCATATTACACTCACTATCTTCTATTGTCCCATGTTTTTAGTTATTATTAAACTGGATTTGTTTCCTATGGAAACACAAGTTTTTGAAGCATGATCTTACGGCTGATGAAGATGAACAATGGTTTTTGAGTGTGTAATCCTATGTCTTTGCAGCACCATCACAACGTGGTTCAATGTCAATTATTGGGCATAGTGAGGATGCGTTAACGCGAATTCGAAACATTGAAATGATTGAATTAGGACGTTATCGTATACAGCCATGGTACTTTTCGCCTTATCCACAAGAGCTCACTACGCTCCCTTGCATTTATCTTTGCGAATTTTGCTTGAAATTCGTCAAAAGTTCCACATGTCTCAAGCGACATATGGTAATTTAATTTCATTGAATTTGAAACCAAATCGAGTTTTTATAACAGTGCATTTTGCACATAAAAAGAAAATGTTTGAAGTACAAATAAAACCTCAATTTTTTAGAAGGTTGATGTTTTGTTATTTTTCAGAGAACATTCTAATTTGAAACCAAAACGAGTTTTTATTCTTTAAATTATTTGATTCACTGTATTTTTTCAGATGAAATGTCATTTAAAACATCCACCAGGCAATGAAATATATCGTTCTGATAAATTATCTTTTTTCGAAATTGATGGAAGGAAGAACAAAGTTAGTTTTTCATTATACTATATATACCTAGCGCCTATTGTCTTTATTTTACGAATTTCAAGAGATTCTGTTTAGACGTATGCTCAAAATCTTTGTCTCTTGGCAAAGCTCTTTCTGGATCACAAGACGCTCTATTATGATACCGATCCCTTCCTGTTCTATATTTTAACCGAACAAGACGATCGTGGTTTTCATATCGTTGGATACTTCTCAAAGGTTTTGCAAATATTTATTTGGCTAAGATTTACTAATTACAGGAAATTTTATTAAATAACTTTCAACAAGGAATGGTTTCTTTTTTTTTTTTTTTCGAGAAGTAATTTTCAAATCCATATTTTAAATAGTGGTCTTTTTTTTTAGGAAAAAGAGTCAGCAGAAGAATATAATGTGGCATGTATATTAGTTTTACCTCCCTATCAGAAAAAAGGTTATGGAAGGCTTTTAATTGAATTTAGCTATGAACTTTCAAAATGTGAGGGAAAGGCTGGATCACCTGAAAAGCCACTTTCGGATTTAGGATTGGTAAGCTTTAATGATTCGATTTTACACTTAGTTATCATTGGCTACCATAATATATCTAAATTATCATTTTGTCGACATTCTTTTTGATCCATAATATTTGGTCTATCCATGGGTGTTGTTTATTTCAAAATTGTAATTTATGGATTTTAGTTGATTTTCTGTCGATTTGAAAAGAAATATAAATTGATGATTTAACATTGCCAGTGACATTTGATATATATTTAGATGTTTGATACATGCTTAAAGACCTTCATTTATGTCGATCTCAAAAATCAGATGATCAGAATGACCAATCAAAGCAGTAGAAATAGTCAGAAGTGTTTAATTATAGACATAACATTAAGGGCTTTTAGTTGAACCGTCACCCTGAAAACATTAAAAGGAGATTGCATTAGTAAACTTAATACTCCATAAAGAAAAAATTTAATTTTTAAATTTAATAATAAAATTAAATCTCTGTTCTGGCCGTTTTTATTTCCAATTTTGCCATTGGCTTTTTCCTCATCTTTTATTTATATTCTTTAGTTTTAAATAGGTTTTGCTTAACAGATACAACCAGTTGCTGCACAGCAGTTTTGATTGTTAATTTATCTTTTTTCCAGTTGTCTTATCGTAGTTTTTGGTCACAAAAAATCATTGAAAAACTGGTCCAACATCGAGAAAGATGTGATGATGGTGATCAGCTTTATTTGTCAGTTAATGATCTCAGCGAGGAAACAAGCATACGGAAAGAAGATATTATATCAACTTTACAAGTGTATTTTTTTTTATATTTTTTTCTCTTATAGTTTTTGTTTTTTGTAATTTTACGAAAGACTGTCTTTTCCGTACTAAAATGAATTATTTTATTCAGCAACTGAACCTATACAAATACTACAAAGGACAGTATGTCATCGTTTTAAGTAATGAATTGTTAGATGCATATCGAAGAAGGCAGCAGAAGCGCCAAGTTCGAATTGACCCGTCAAAACTTCATTTTCAACCGAAGGACTGGTCACGAAGGAAAATATGATTTGATGTAGTTTGATGCATTGTGCATTTTATTTATTTCATCCCATTTGTATGTATCACGTGTATCAGTTCCTTATGCTTATTTAGAAGTTTAAAGATTGGAAGTCGTGCCAAAAATTAATAATTCTGTTTGAGATGAGCTCATGTCAATTTTTGTTACTTAGGTGATGAAGATTTATATTATTGTCGGTGTATTGTACATTGTGATTTCTTGTTTCATAATCATTTCAATAAACTAGCTTTCCTTCTAAGCAATGGATCCTGTGTTCCACTTACATCTTGGTGCTACAGGGGAATTCAAAGTTTCCTCCTTATTTTATATATTATACCATTTTTAGAAGTATTGAAATTCCTGATATCCATAATAATCAATTACAGGTCATCAGGGATTTATGAGCAAACGAATGATTTAGGATTTATTATTGTCTTTAGATAGACTTAAACGCAATGTCATATCTTGTCCAGTCTTTCAAGTGTCTGTTTTTTTTTTTTTTTTTTTAATGTTATCATAAAGATCCATTGAAGTTCACAAATCTTATATGGATCCTTTTGGATTTACTCATCTACGAAGTAGGGAAACGTTAAATGTGGTACCTACGATATTTAATCGTAAATACAAAAAGAGCAACTTAAATATCTCAAAGTGAGTGCTTTTCAACTTTTTTGATAATTTTTCCTTGCAGTCTTTTAAATAACGAAAGTAAGTGGAAAATTTTGACATATATACTCTTACCTGCACTACACATTGATATTTTATTCATTAGTAATATTGTAGGTTGATATGAGTTTCTCAACTCTAAGCTAAAAAACATAGTTCTTTCCTAGATTCGTATTATAAGTTTGTCATATTATTATCATATTTTACAGATTAACGAAATCTCAGCAATTATCGATGCGTTATCTATACTATCCTGTGAATATGCCCATTTGTCGTTATCAGAAGAGACTTATTTTAGATTCTTTATATAATAATTTATTGTTAACATTACCAAAAGAATTGGATACTTTCTTCATTGGTGCCGTTACTATGCTCAATTTTCATAGGTATTAATTTGCTGCAATATCGGTGATATGTATTCAACGTTGATTACTTCGTCTTTTATTAATAATAATTTTAATATGTCCCTTTCATCGTTGATTTCAATATTTGAAATACAGAAATGGTTCTGTAAAGTGAAGATGTAGATTAGATGATCGTTTAATAACAAATATTCTACAATTGCAAATTTTTTTTTTTTTTTTTTGTAATACATTTCCTTTCTCCAAAGATAGCACATAAAGTATTCTTATAAAAATATCCAAGAATTCATCTTTCTTCTCTCATTATTATTATAGATTATTATTAGATTAATGGTTCCGATTTGCTATCTTTGATTCACTTGCATATTTTTGAATTTCTATTTGTAATGATTAACTGTCTTGCTTATGTTTTCTGAAGAATATAAGTAATATAAATTATTTCATATGAGCATGCCTTCCTTTTTTTTTTTTTTTCTCTTCCTTTTAATGATAATATGCATCAGATTGAATTATAATTCATTAATGTGAAACAAATAATAATTGAAATTGCAACACATATTTTTATGAATGTTAGGACAAAAGGTGTTTAAATTTATTCTTTTTGCAGATGGTTTCCAGTGCAGAAGATAGTTTGCATATGTAAAAATGTAGAATCATCGTTGAATGCCGCAAAACGATTCGTTGAAATTACGGGTTATTCACATGGTATTTGTGTATATGCTAATTTGAAAAAGAATGATCGTTATGCGGAATGGATGCAACAGAACATTATATTTGCTACTGCACAGGTTTTTATTTTTATTTTTGTTTTTGTTTTTGTTTTTTTTTTCTCTTGATTAATGAAAAGAGAAATGTATTATGGATTCATTCATTTAAATTTTTTAAATGTAATTATGACTAGTTTATCTATAATTCTTTAGATTAGTAAACTAATAAGAAGGATTTTGTCAAAAATTTTCATTGATATAAAGAAAATTTTTCTCTGTATATAGAGAATTTTCTCTTAGATTCTTTTGTATTGATTAATTAATTGACTGCAAATTTTTTTTTTTTTTTTTTTTTCTTTGTTGTAGAGTGATAAAATGGCTCTGGGCATATCATTTTGTTTATTTTATTTTTTTTTTACTAGGCAGGGTTGAAATTATCAAAATTAACAGTATAAGGTGGAATTATCAAAAAAATTAACAGTACCAAATATTTCTTCTCTTTTTCTCCATCTTCAAGGCATGTGTTGAAGATTCTGGAATAAACATTTAAGAGAAATAAACAATTTACACCATTATTAGCACGGTCGGCCGATACCAATATTTTATATTATTTTATGAAATCGTGTTTTTTTTTTTTTTTTTTGTTAACTATTAGAGTTGAAACAAAATTTAATGAAAAAAAAAGAAAAATATCCATTATATCATAAAATCGCTCATTTTTTTTAGATCAATCTCTAAACATTGCATTAAAAATTCTTTGGTTTTCATATATCTTCAAAATTTCTGAAATTATAGTAGTTTGATGTGAATGAATGTTGAAACATTGCTTTAAACTAAACATTCTTTTCTATTACATATTTTACATTCAACTATTAAATGAATTTTCCATTCTTTTAAAAATAATAGAACTAAAATTGAAGAAATTTTAGATTTTTTTTTTTTATTACAGTAGTTTGTTCTAAAGTTAATCAAAAAAAGTTAATCATCATTCATGAAAGCCTAAGTGAAAGATAGAAAATCGTACAATTTATTTATATTATCCTATTGGCTTCCGTAAATTTGTGAATCTTATAATGCTATTCATTTCCTGAAAACATTTTCAATTTGAATTATCTCAAAAAGTTAATTTTGTTAATTCATATTTGTAACTGTATATCACAAAGGAAATTTGAAAATATGTAACATAATCATAATTAATGATATTTTTGCTAAATTTATTTTTTTTTTGCTATTTTTTTTTAATATTTTTGCTGAATTTTAAAATCAAAACATTTGAACAATGAATTTATCCATGCTTATTGCATTGATTAGTAATTATCAACGATGAAACTATCATTTATGATGAATGTGTAGTCAACTTCTGAAATCTTTTCAAACATATCTAGGGATTGAACTCTTGTATTCATCTTGAAACGTATGCTTTCAAGCTGAAAATTATAATATAATTACTAAAAATAGTTATTGTATGAAATCTTTAGAAAAATAAAATGATTATCAAGTGATTATCACTCATTGTAAGAATTACAGACTATTTCCGTTTGTAGAAAGAGAAAGTTATGAATTCGAATACAAAAAAATGATAAAGTAAAAGTTAAATTTTCCTGTTATCTCGTTATCAGTAAAGAAAAAAGAAGTGAAATTGCTTAATTTAAATATGCTTTTAAAATAAATAACTTTCATAGCTATTTTCCTCTTTTACACTTTTAATTACCCACTGATTAATTACTTAAGAATGTCGTCTGTTTTTGGAATAAAAGAAAAAACAAAATAAAGAAATTTCGAAATAAATGAAATTTACTTTTGAAACAAAGAAATAACATTTAATTAACTTTTTACATTGTCTAAAATCTTTCATCAATATTTGATTGTATTTCAGATAATCTCCTAATAAGTTGTATCATTTTCAATTGTAGAGTGTTGTTGCTGATTTCACGGGTAGAAAAGAGCTTTCGGAAATTTGCTTGATGGTTGTGGAAGATGCACATCGTGCTATTTCCGGTTCTCATCCTGTATCGGAATTAATTCGTAATTGTATTCTTCAAAAAGTAAGTTACGGATTGAATTAATTGGAGCAATTTTATATTAGTAACATATTCAGTTTTAATTGAGTAAACAAATATTTGTAAGGCTAAACATTAAATAAATAAAAATGAATTACCATATTTATAGATTGTCCTTTCATTTTCATTATTCACTCAATTTTTTGCTTTGTTTTAAAATGAGAGATTTCGTTTTTAAGGCAGAATTTCGTATTTTGGCTTATACAGATTGCAAATTGGATAAAGTTGGTGAGCTGCAATTAATTGTAATGAATCTTCAAATTGATTTGATTCGATCATTAAGCTCAATTAGAGAAGAAATTTCATTAACTTTCGCTTCGCCAAAAATGTGTAAACTCTATATAAATATCAGTGATGATATCCGTCATATTGGCAATGAACTACTGAAAGTATCTCTTTCTCTTTTTGTTAAATTCTTTTTTCTTTTTTTTGAAAGTCATTAGTGAATTATAAGTAAATTACATAAATATTATTTGCCAGATATCATTCAAAAATTCAATAGTTACACTATTTAAGAATGGATTACAGTTTATTATCTTTGCTGATTTTGCAAAGAAACAAATTTATGCACATATTAAATTTTCATTAAAGTTATAAAAACTGTTTTCGAACAAATCGGATGTAGCAGTTTTTTTATTTTGATAATTAAAAAAAAAAAATAAAACTGGAAATCTTATTAGTTTTAAAAAACGATTTCTTTTGAGAAAATTTTTTTTGCAACGATTATCAATTTCTTTCATTTCTTTTACTATTATTACTTTTAGACAATGGAACCTATTGCATCATTACTATACGAAAGTGGTATATTTCCTACAAACGATATTAAAAAAATTGCGAATTTTTCAATAAATTATTTGCAACGGAAGATGCAAATTGGGCAAGATCATTTGACGGAAATTTATTGTGATTTTTTTGAACTTCTATCAGCATATGATATTCTAATGTGTGATGGTTTGACTGCTTTCAGAAATACTCTTCAGGGTTAGTAATTTTTGAATTATCTCAAAATAGCGGCTTTGCTAATCATGCAAAATGCTTTAATGAAAGCTTATAAAATTAGCTTTTTCATTACATATACTGTTTTTTTTTTTTTTTAGCATTGTGCAGCAAGAGTAGAACAATTGCAGAAATTACTCAATCGAATGATATTTTAAGAAAGACTTGTTTTCTCTCGACTCCTTTAAGATCTGACAATTTGCAGTGTCACAAACTGGATATGCTTATTACATTACTTACGAAAACTTCTACATATTATCGTGCGTTTTATCTTTCCTTTCAATGATTTTTTTTCATGTTTCGACGAGAAACTTCAATTATTATCATTCGAGAGTTTTTTAATATTTTCAGGTAGCAAGAAGTCAATAGTAGTATTATTATGTCGAGATCGAGATCCAGCATTTGTCAATAGTCTTCTTCTATCTGTTACAGCGCGGCTTTCTGACAAAGAATCTGGATTTGCTTTTTTCCTCGTTAAAAGTAATACTTTTGCTCTTTTTTACAAATGATAATCTAAAATATCACCACTTCTTTGTCTACCTTTTTTTAGTTCATTTTTATTCGATACTTATTTTACTTTTTCATTTACTCTCATGATTTTTTCCTTTTTTCTGTTCCAGAGAATAATCATCAAGCGGAAATTTCGGAAAATATGATGAAGGTGTGTACTAGATTTTTTTCATTCAACTCTATCTTAAAGTCTATTTAACTGCATTATATAATTTTTTATAAAAAATTTGTATGTTATTGCATATTTATTGTGAAATATTTGTGATATTTATAGGATAAATTATGCAATGTTATCATTGTACCATGTGGTTCTGATGCAATCGAAATTAACGTCGGTTACGTGGATTCTATAATTTGTATGGATGAAGGGTTTGTTTGTTTGTTTGTTTTTCTTTTTTTCAAGCTATCTCTTTTTTTCTATATTTAATCAAACTAATGCCCATTTATTATTTAGGCTATGTGCGCTTCATTATACAGGAACAATCAGAATACGATCAGAGGGAAATCTTTTAGCACTCTGTTCTTCAGGCTATGAGACGGTACGAGTAGACATATCAAAAATAAAAATAAAAAAATAGAAAAAAAAAAGACGTCAAACATCTTAATGTCATCTTAATGTCAAACATCTTAATGACATCTTAATGTGATAGACTGATGTTTAATTAAAAGTAATTTTGATAAAATTAAATAAGAAGTTTAATGAATTTGTATAGGGAGCAAAATATATTAATCTTTATTACTCAAAAGTAACACAACTTTAAGTGATAGAATTTTTTGTGATAGTAATAGTAAATATTGATCACATTTCAGAATATCTACAGCTTTTTGGCAATTGAGGGGACTGTTGATTGTGTAAAAATGGATCACATTAAAGGCTTACAGCTATGTAACGATGTATTACCGATGTTGCCATTTAATGTTATACCTGAAATTGTAGAGTACTGGGCTCAAAATGTTGATAACAAGTTGGATTTACTTTTTTCTCATTCGACAAATGAAATTCAGCTATGTAAGTAATATCACTGTTAATGTTTATCACTATTACAGTGATGGTTTGCTAACGATGGTTCAACGTTTGGATTTTCAAGAAAGACTAGCTCTCAATAAGCCAATGAATAGTTTAAATTTAATTAAGGTTTTATTTTTCACTTAATCGATTCTTTTTCTTTTTTCAGGAGATTTAATACTTACCAAGTAAATCTGTAATTCTATTTTTAGCTGTTTATTTGAAAATATTAATAGAAAATTTTATCTTTCTTAAATGCCTACATTTTGATATCTAACTCTTCCATTAGGACAATCATAGTCTATTGGATTTCTGTGTGAAAGAAACATTTTTGTGGCAAGATCGTCTGCAACGCTTCACATTACTTGGTCACAGTGTTAGTGCTTCCAATTTAACAAATATTTTCGGTGGAGACCCGAAAATATTGGAGAAGCAAGTTCTAAGGTATGTTTTAAGATATCTGAATTATTCCAATACATATAATATGGAATTTTGATTTAACGATAGTGTTTTTTTTTTCCTGTGTTGGTTTAAATCTTGATTTTAATCGTTGTTTATCATAGATTACAAAATAGACTCAAGTTAAAATGGATAAGTGAAGAAGAGTCACAATCATCGAAAATGGATGAAGCAAATTTAATGGAAGTACAGTTGAAACACGATAAACATTCAAAAATGGATTGCTGTCGAAAATCATCCGGTCAGAAACGATTAGCAAAAGTATGACTATTTTCTAAACAAAAATTCTGCAAATTTTAGAAATATTTGCATGGCTAACACAACTTTCTATCTAAGCATTAAACATTTTTGTGGTTATATAAATTTGAATCATTATATAAATTTCAGAGACCATCCAAAAAATGTGACTCGACAAAAGCACAGCGCTTGAACCGTATTGATTCAGCTAGCTTTACACTGTTAAAAGTGTTGAAAACAGAAGTAAAATTAATCTGTTTATTTTGATCGTCATTTTTTCTGCTCTATTTTCCATTTGTATATTTTCATTTGCAAATAGGAAAAAAAAATAGTTTTATAATAATTAACTAATCGAAAGGAAGATTTGATTTATTCACTTGTACATTTCATTTGCAGATAGAGGAAAAAAATTACTTTTATAATAGTTAACAGATTAGACTTGACAGACTTTTTTTTTAACGATTATTTAGTTAGACAGATGACACTTTCTAACTATGGAAACATTCTTCTATTTTTTAACTTTTGCAAATTTATTCAGCTGTTTCAGTTAAAAGCAGACGACTTCGTTGACAACATCAAAAAACAAAATGAATATCGTGAACGTTTAGAAGGGATAACTAAAATCATTCGAAAATTGAATGGTCTGATGAGTTTATGACGAAAATCTGATGTACTTTGATTGTTTCAACTGAAATTTCTGAATTTATAGTTTTTAAATATCACTAGGAGCATGTCATCCTAATAGATTGAAAATTTCCTATCACTGTAATACTCATATTTATAAAGTAGAGTGTAATACGGTGGAACTATCTACCAAATAATATAGAATTTTGATATAAAAAAGGTACATCTCGTCACGAAATCTGAACAGGTCAACATAACAAAATATTAATTTTAGGTTTCTTTTTATTTTAATATCTTTTTAAAAAAAAAATAGATGAATTAGATAAGCGTAATTCATGCTAGAGTGAGTTTTAAAATGTCAAGATAGTGACGAGAGAAGACGACAGCAAGTGAGTTACCTGTAAAATGCTGTCAAGTGGTATCAGCGAATGAGGAGAAATTTTTTTGATCGTTATTCGAAAAGGAGGAAAAATTCTCTTTCACATAATATGGAAGAGAATTTTAAAAATTGCAAAAGTATGAAATTTTATGCTTTCATTATGATATTTACTCTTTGATATTTTTGCTCTTCTTGAAAATTTTCTCATCAGAAATAACCGCTAAGTGTTAAATTTCTTCGTTAAAAGGATTTTTTTTTTTCATGCTATTGCTTTACTATTCGAAGCTGACAAAAATTTCGCATAGAAATTCAAGAGTGAATGAATCGACGAGCTAAAAGAATGTTCCATTTAATTTTATTGATTTTGTCACTATCTCTTTACATTCCAATAGTATCAAATTAAAGAAACTCAAATTTTGAAAAAAAAAAGTTTTTCAAAAAAGTTGTATTCTCTTGCAGATTTAATTTGTCATAGGCAAAAATACTAGCTACATTTGAAGTATTGAAGATTAATGCTAGATATAAAAAATAAAAAGTGGAACATTAAGCTTTGAAAGTTAATATATGTCTAGAAAAGAAGACAAATTTTATACGTATGCATAACATATAATAAAATGTATCTTGTTAAATTCCAAACGAAATTTCACTTTTCATTTTTCTAAAAGACAGGAATGAATAGTTTTACTGAATGTGTTTGTAGTATTATCATACTTTTTTTTACCTATTTTTGTTGACTTTTGTGATCAATTACGACCAATTTCTTCCTAGTAAAACGAGGGCTGAGCCGGGGATTGATCCCGGGACCTCTCGCACCCTAAGCGAGAATCATACCACTAGACCACTCAGCCCTGTCCATCTGCTGGTCATTTCTTTTATCATCACAAAAAATGTTAAAAAATTGAGTAACGATTTATACGGGAATGACTTACGTGTTACGTGTTTCATTGCAACAATATATGCTATCATTCTATTCGATCAATACTGATAAGAGTGCCTGGTGCACACTTTAAATTATCTATTTAAGTAGAATAATGAATCACGTTATGATACATCCGTGTACTCTTGCATTTAATCAATATTTATTGAAAAAAAAAACATTTATATGCAAGCTGCATCGAATTGATTTTTCGTTCAAATTACTAAAATAGATAATTTTGATATTCAAATTTATGAATGCTTATCGGTTTTTTTTTTTGTTGTTGTTGTTCTAAACTTCTAGTAAATTGACTTTCTATGATTTATACTATAAATCATAGAAATATCACACTTCATAATACCTTTTCTATTATAAATTTATGATAATATAATGAGGAAAAAATTTATAGTGTTGGAAAATTGTTATTTGTATAATTAAAGCAATACAACCAAATTAAGCAAAACAACAGCTATTATTATTTAAGCATTTAAATCTACAAATGAATTGTAAATGTAAAAAAGATTTAGAAAAGATTACAAGAAGTTATAAATTGCTATATCTTCAAAATATTTGCGTCCTCACTTTCTATATTTATTGAGGATTGCACGAATTCCATACTCTCAAGACTAATACCAACTAATTTAAGAAATTTTCAATGGATTATATTTAGTTTTTTTTTCTCCTTGTAGTGCTCCTTTTGGGAGTTTTTTTTTTTTTGTTTCAATATATTGCTCGTAGATTTAGATTTTAAATGGTTTACATTGCTTTTTGAATATTTTTTGTTCCGCTTGATTTTTCATGTTCACTTTATAGAAATGATGTTTATACAAAACTTCGTAAATTCTCTTAATTTAAATTCCTTTCCAAGAGTACTATAATAGATAAGTAATCATTTGTACTTGATAATGAAGTTTGTACTATAAAACTGTCCAAATCATATTTTTGATCAATTTATTATGTATATGTACAATTTTACTTCATCAAATCATAGTATAACAGAAGTTCAGAATTTACAAACTCACTGAGCATCAAACAAAAGGAATTCATTAGGTAACATAAACAAATTAACAAGAAAATAGACTGGATCCAGTCCTATGCGAACATTGTTACAATGAGCAAATAGATTCTCAAGATACTACTGTTGTGATTAGAAATTTTACTCTTCAAAAATCAAAAATCCGTGAGATTTATCTGTTATAAATACATTATAAAATATATAATAAGAGATAAGAACAGGTTAACTTCTTTTTCCAAAATCTTTGAGAATTTGCAATCATTAGAAACGAAAAAATGATTCTTGTTATAACAAGAAAATCCAATGATTAGGAGGTTGTTTTTGTTTGTAAGGTTTAGTTTAATGTGATAAAATGTTTCAGTAATGTCTGACTAGTAAAAATAATGTTTTTTTTTTTTTTTTTTTTTTTCACAGGAAAAAAAAAAAACATCAGATTAGGTTAGGAAAAGAAATACGTGGAGTGTCGCACAGCACCTAGGTCAAGCACGCCTTGTCGAACTTTTGGTGTGAATATTTTCCGTAGTTCTTGGAATTCTTCGGTTAACATAACAGTACGTAACCAATTCGGCAAATATTTCTGTCGGAAGAACTAAAAAAAAAAGGAAAAATGAACTGTACATATCACAAAAAAAAGCAGAATAAAATGTAAGGGCAGGTAGCTCATCATTTCAGATCTTACTTCTGCACATTGTTTTACTAGTGGTTCGCTATGCAAATGCACAAATTGTTCTCGACATATCTTATTCATCTCGTCCACCTCACAAGCATGCGTCCAATAGCAATCATGTACTGCTGCAAATGTAATACCCAATCGTCGGCAGTATAAAGCAGTTAACATCATATGAGTTGAATCCAACGAATGTACGAAATTTGGAGGAAATGCGTTAATCTGTAAGATAATTTCTTGAGTAAAAACCAGATTCCCTATAAATATAAATGACTTCCGCTTCTGACCAAACATTTCAAAATTCCTTACTCGCAATACACTTATTCAAACTATATTCCATAAGATCCAATCATTCTTACACTGCTTAAAAAATAAACCTACAAGTCTTGTATTAAAATAACATTGTAAACAAACCTGCTTGATCGATTTAGGTAGTCGATAAACTTTATTTTCCTCCATTTTCGTTTCTAAATAGGGTTGATAAACAGGTAAACCAAGAGGTGTAATCCACTCCACTGTATGCATCAGTTTTACAATTGCTTCCGCACAATCGCGAAACCAGTCTTTCATTTTCCTGAAATAATAATATTGAAAAAATAAACAATTATCGTATTTATAGTATATAGAGAAATAACAAAAATGAGCAGAAAAACAATTATGTGAAAGGTAAGATGAGTGAAAGTATTTACATCGAACTAGTAAAAGCGTCGTTTAGACTTCGAAATGTCCTGTCTGCCAAATAGGTTGCGTACTTCATACGCTAAAAAGAGTAAAAAAGAAGTCAGACATTTGTTCAAAAAAAGAAAGAACCAAAGTATAAGAAATTTTTACTTATTTGTATTTCCTTTTCAAAATACATATAACAATATTTTACAACATAATATTTCAATCTGAACAAATAAGATAAAACGCATACTTCATTCGAATCTATTTCCATCGCTTTAAGCTGTCTTTCGATTTGTCTTCGTGCTCCATTCATTGTCACACCATAAACAGTGGTCATTACTGTTTGTTTTATCACCTAAATACAAAATTATGTAAAAAGATTCATTTTCACAGATAATTTTGTTAAGCTCTAATAAATTTCAAGAAATCCTGCTTTACATACTTTTCTCGAAATAGGACCTGGCATAACGGTACGTAATGACAAAGCCAAATCATGAACTTCAGATTCTGGACTTTGTTCATCCTCCAAACGTTTTTGTTCAACTCTGAAATGCATTGCATTAATTTCAAAGAGTATCTATCATAGTGATGAATGTCAACCCTGACTGAAATTCCTAAACAGATAAAATAGCATACCTAGCAGCAACACTGGAATAAACATCGGATGGCTTTTCAGCCGGTACTAAGTTCACTTCTTTTCCACCTTCTTGATCTCTACCTAGTGCTGCATAATGCTGCAAACCATTGCATGAACCATCCTGATATACCGGTAAGTGACTCACGAAAGTCGTCGGATTACCTGTAAGATTTTACATTTTCAAACAGATGAAAAACTTGAAAATTTCAGAGAAAGCAGTAACAGAATATATAAATAATGAAATATATAATTGAACATATATGAAAAATAATCCTGGCGCTATAAAGTGCAAATACACTCTAGTTATCAAATCAGGAAAATGGCTCAAATGTGTTTTCCGTGGATCACGGCTATTCGTAATGAATCAGTATCCTAATATATCTCTCCCAAAACTCAAAAACATTCAAATGCATGTACTTTCAAAACAAAATAAGGGACTGCAAAATAAAAGTTAACTAATATAATGAGGCAAAATTATCTCAGACTATATCTACTTCCATATAATAATCTCACTGCAAAATTTGAACAAAAACAACAAATAAAATAGCAAATACTTGGCACTGTAGAGATAGTAAAACAGGTAAGTCAAAAATCAAAAAAGAAAAGCATGGAGAATTTACGATTAAGTATAATGAATTGAGCATTATAAACACAAAAGAATCCCGGGATCATAATATGTCCATTAAGTAATGTTTGTTGAGTATATTTTGAACAATCTAACCTTAAGTCTAACGATTATTTCAAGCTACATTCG